CCAGCTGACTTGTTCAATCCTAGATCGTTATCTAACTTTACTGAACCACTAGAAAATGCAAGAAGTTGAGATTTTAAATACTCTAGATCACTCATACAATTCTTAACCTAGATTTCTAAAGTCTTATTCTCAGCGGTCAACTTACTCACTTTCTCAGAGGACTTCTCAAGCTCACTAGTGAGATTCTTAATCTGAGTATCTAAAGATTCATTCATCGATTTCAATTCACTCAAGGTTGAGGTAGATTCTTGATGGTCAGTTATAAGTTTTTCTTTCTCAAGCTCAAGTTTCTTAACTTTAGTACACGAGGCTTTGTTCTTAGTTAGAATCTTAAAACTTTCCTCATACATTTTATCATACGCCTCATGTATATCTTCTTCACTGTCAAAATCTTTTCCAGATTGCTCACCACTATCTATATCCCAATGTCTCTCAATTCTCTCGTCAGAACCACTTTTAGTCTTAGCTGTGAAGGCAACATATTTTCCACTTTCCTTACGAGTGGATTTCTCGCCTTATCTTGATTTCTACTGCTAGTAGTGCATTTACTCCTCATATGGCCAAAGCCATGACACTTGTGGCATCTCACAGATTTAGATCTTCTTCTAGATTCACTCAGGCTACCTTTGTGTCTTTCCTGAACTTTGTTTTTATTCTTAAACATTTTTCGAAATTTTTTAGCAAGATAGGCTAACTTCTCTTCATTTGGTGAATTTGAATTAGAAGATTCGTTCTAGTTATTCCTCACACTGCTCAAGGCCAAATACTTTTCTTTTACAAGTCTAAGGTTAGCTTATAAGTCTGGATAGATCATATCAACTCCTCAACCTTAATAGAATCTATATCTTTACTCTTATCCATTGTCGTGATTTTAGGCCTACATCGCTTAAGCAAGGATTTAAAGATTTTTCTGACTATCTTAAACTTCGGGATTCTCTCACCTAGGTTAAAGCTAGAATTTACTATACATTTAGGCCCGCATAAAAGACGTCAAAGGTCACATCATGACTCATTCTAATATCTTCAAATGTTGTGGCCAGCATATACAATTTATAGTTCTTAATAGCTTGAGTTCCCTCATGTGGGATCCGTAAGATATCCCAAACCTCTTTAGCTATCTTACATATGGACACTCATCTAAATTTCTCAGGTGACACAGCCATAAATAAGGCATGTAAGGCTTTGCTATTCCAATTACACTCATCTAAATTAGCTTTTGACCAATTTTTTACAGGGCGAGAGTGATAATATTAGTAATAGTGCTAGAAGGGACAGCCAAACCATTTGCCACACTAAACCATATACGCTTATCCATAAATTTTAAAAATGCTCTCATTCTAATCTTTCAGTAGGCATAATTACTACTATCAAAATATGGCGGGACAACCACTGAACTACTCATCTAGGTAAATTAAGGCCAAGACATCTGATACCAATTGAAAGTTCTTACTTAGCCGATTTAATTTAACCTTACATGTGGAATTATTCTATTAAGCGCTATGAATCACTTTTTAATAGTTTCTAGATTATTAATCATACAAGTCAATTTCCTTATCTTTGGATACCACAATTTGTAATGCGAAAGCAGTAAAGATCATAGTAATTTTTGACAGAGAAATTCAACTGGATAAAAACTCTGGGACTAAGTCAGTTACCTTAACCATAGACAATGGACCTTACAGTTAGATGCTGCCTAGCCAACCCCACTGGACTTCCCGATCTACTTTCTGTAATCTCCAAGATCATCTGACTCCACCAGCTTCTCGATCTTCTATAATTGTCTCTTCTAAGAGGATACCCAAGAACCACTAATTCTTGTTCTTTTTCTTGTGCTTTTAGTCCAACCTTAATCTTCTGCAGCCTCAGAAGTTCCAATTAAGAAAGTAACTTCTTGTTGTATAAAGGAAGTGGATATTTTGGATTCTGGAACCATGATATTTTCCCCAAATCAGTGGTCATATGATCCAAAGAAAGAATAAATTGAATCAATGGTTGAATATGTTTTTGGATCTTCACGAGATGATATGAATGTATTATCAATGAAAGGCACAATGAACAACCATATAAAATTTGTGCTAGGGTTTGGGTATTTATAATTGAAAGTGTTTAGGTAGTTTGGACTGTGTAAAACTCTTCAAAAATGCGAATTATGGTTTTTTGCGTAGCACTATCGCTCAACTGAGGAGCTAGCAACAGGCGAGCGACAATTAAGCAATCACCAGTATTTTCATCATAACTTTCTCTCTCGATGTTAGATTGAGGTGATTCAAAATACGTTGAAAAGCTGAGTCAAAGGGTTACAATTCTTCTAGATGTAGCTTTGCCCAAATTTCAATGTTCTATATGTGAAAAATGCATTGCAATTTACAACTGAGAATTTAGAATATAACTTGTGTAGCTTTTTGACTTATAATCGCATTCCCTTGATCATATGTGATCTTCTTGGACATTTTGGCCTCCTTCAAGGACTATACTACTAACTCCGAAAGATTTCTTGATTTTTACAACTCTTTTACATTAATCTATTTGTCTAAAAAATTGCCAATACACTAGAAACCTAACACTATGCAACGAATACTTACTGCAAATCACGAGTTCAACCATCTTTATACTCAACGAATTTCTAAATGAATCAAGAACATGAACACGAGATAAAATATGGAAATCAATAAATAAATATATAGAGATTTAGAGATTCACATACCTTTGCTGTTAGAGTTTGAGAGAAGGAGATAATCTGGGAGTTACAAAATTATTATAACTACTGAATATTTAATGTTTTAGGCTTTGGGTTTAAAGTTGAGATGAATACTTGTCTAATTGGGCATTAAGTTCAATTGAATTGGATATAAGTTTAATTACGCTGGATCTAATATGGTTGTTTTAATAGGGATGTGTTTAGTTTTAATTGAGTTCGATAAAAAATTGAATTAGATTATTTCCATATTTATTTTTGTAAACGGTTTTACAATTTGAAATGATTTGTAAAAACAAAAATTTAAACTCAACTATTTCAAAACGGTTTAGTTCAATTTAAAATAAAAATGTTAACAGATCCACGTATATTCAAACCAACAATTTCAAAAAAGCAATATCAATTCAATTTTGCAGTTGATGATTTCATTGTTCCGCTCTAATATGTATATTGTATTGAAAGATTTTGCTATCGTTGGAGTTTATCAATTTTTTACTCAACTTCTATTGTTCCGCTTTTTTCTTTTTCTTTTTCTTTTTTTTTTTTGTTTTTTTGTTTTTTGTTTTTTGTTTTTTTTTGTTTTTTGTGGGTGAGACAATACAATTTTCTCACATAGATTTAGTTTTCTTATATCATGACAAGCGGAATTGATTGAGCCGCACCAAAGCTGGAATTAAATTGAGCACGTGAATCTTGCATTTCTAATTTAGAAGATAATGAATGTGGCAGACAGTTGCCCACTGCACACAGTGCCATGTGAAATCATAATGGACTTTTAATTAATAATCTTTCTTTTTTTTTTTTTTTATTAAATAACTTATCCTCAAATTAATTTGACGTGAATTAAAATTAAATCTTTAGTAAATTTTGATAAAAATTGATTAAATATATAGTTAAAAAGTTGTTAATCTCATAAAAGTGTGCGATTAAAATTAATTATTGATTTTAATTTTAATTAAATAGTGACTTAATTAAAGTTTATTTTAAATTAATTCAATATAGTTATATCAAAAGTATTAAATAAGGATAAAATTGTTATGGTTAGCTTAGCCTTAGCCTAAGGAGCTATAATATAATGAAAAGACTAGCCATGGCGGGTGAGCATAATTATGCAATCTATTGGCTTTTTTAGTACTTATTACAGACGAAAAAACCGTGACATAGTACTAGGAATTGACCAATCAGTCCAATCTAATGTGTGCCCCTACCCTACCCTACCCCAATTTGCCCAGAATTCAACATTTTTCGCGTGTATTACATGCCTTTGAGCATAGAAATGAAAGGACTTTCGAGCAAGAGTCAAATAAAAACAACATCCGTAAATCATGTGAATTGTTGTTGGCCACTCTATGGTGATATTTTTAGCCATTATTTTTAGTGAAAAAATTAAATTTATAATGGTGATTATTTATTTTTTTTTTATTTTTTTGGAAAATGTATAGTTAATAGATATAATAATATTATTTAGTATCAGTAGTGATGTTAGAATACCAGTCTGTTTGGCATTATATAATATGTTCAATTAAAGATGAAATAATGTGATTCATTTAAAAATAATGTTATTTAGTGCATCTTTGGTTCTGATTTTTCATCCAAAAAAATCAATTTTTGACCGTTACTTCCATAAGCCAGCTGTTATTTTTTATTCTTCTTTTATAGGTGGAACCCACTTTTCTATCTAACGGTCAAAAAATCAATTCTCATTAACATTAACGAACAAGCCCCTAATACTATCGGTGCTAGAAACTCATATATATGACATTATGTGATACGTTCAATTAAAGATAAAATTATACGATTTATTTAATTGTGCATTTCATTTAATGATACTTAATGCCACATAAAATCTCAATGGTGCTAAACAACATTACAATTCAATTAATCGTATAATTGATTTAAAAATAATACTATCTAAACCAATCTACGTGACATCATATGTTCAATTAAATATGAAATTATGTGATTCATTTTATTGCACTTTTTATTTAATAACACTTAATGTCACCTAAATTGATTTTATATTACCGGTAATGTTATTTAGTATTACTTTTCATTTAAAGATATTTAGTGCTATTTTAATTGGTGTTATAATATCATTGGTGTGAAATAACTTTACTCCAAAAAGTAAGGAAAATTTTACATTTATGTATCAAATTATTTTATTGAAAAATGTATCATCTAAAATTACTTTTGAAAAAATGCTACAGTATATCGTGGATTACGTGTTTTCGTGTGCAGCATTAGATTAAAGATTACACAATCAAAGCATTGCCCGCCCCACTTATTTTTCTACCCTTCTCATTTTCCTCGTGCCTTTCATTTATTACTCAACATCGTCTCGCGGACAAGCCACCTATTTATTAAATCAAAAGTTCTTGTCTACTCCACCACCACCGGGAAAAAAGAAAAAGAAAGAAGAAATATAGTCATGTCGAGATCAGCAATGGAACTAGACTTTTTTGGCATGGAAAAGAAGTTATCTCCTCCTCCTAAGCCTTCCAGTTTCGAACGCAGAAGAAGCTTTCGAGGTTTGTATACTTCTTATTTCTGTGTGTTTGAATTTTGAAATGTAGCATGCTAATTTCACGGTGTTGATGAGCTCTTTTTTTCTTATGTTTTGTGGGTTTAGATATACAAGGAGTTGTTTCTAAGATCAATCCAGAGGTTCTGAAAACTGTGATTGCAAATGGTTCCTTCGGTCTGAATAAATCGGGTTCTGTTCCTTGTACGCCAAAGGAAGATACTGCCTTTCCTTCATTGCCACTTCATGATTCTACCGTTAGGTAAAAACCTTAGAAAAAGTGAAAGAATAAAAAAAAAAAAAAAGAGAGAGAGAGAGAGAAGCTTTTTCGCCTTTTCGTCACTTGCATGTAGCTAAAGAGTATTTTCTGGGATTTTTTAGGCAAAATTGTGATCCTAAAAAAGGTACTGAAACTGCTCCCATGACGATTTTCTACAATGGGATGGTCGCTGTTTTTGATGTTTCTCCAGATAAGGTTCATTTTTTATTTTTTTTTCAAATTATCATTAATTAACAAAAAGAAACTGAACTTTTTTTTAAAAAAAATAAAATAAAATTAACGAATGGTACACTGCAGGCGCAGGATATTCTCCTACTTGCTGAGGAAGAAGTTAAAAAACCTGCTGAATCCTCAGATTCTAAAGTGACATCTGACCAAAAGAATATACTGGGAACCCTTAATGGAGGTGTGTATCAATTTTTCTTCCTTTAGGCATGTTTGTTGTTGGATATTGGTTAAATAAATTGAGAATTGAAAATCGATTAAAGTTCGTATCGAATTCGGCCAAATACTCAAAAGCTCGACTCAATCCGTTTAGGCAAAATTGTTTGCCACTTCGCCGCTTCGGGGCGCACAAACGGGGATCGACCTGCCCGGTCAGGTCGCGGTTGGTGGAGTGGTGAACGTACTCATGAAGAAAATGATGATTACAAGGAAATGAAAGAATTTAGAGTGATGAATGAAGAAAATATTGTAGAATCAAAAGTGTCTCTAGCTTGCGGCAAATCTTGGGGGTTGCTTTTTCCGATAAAAGTTGGTTACATATCTTTATGTTATTTATACCAGTAATTGACAGCATCTTAGTATGGCATAGCCTTAGAAAAATAAGGCTTCACTGAGGAAACACTTACATTGGATATTCAGGCACTCATTGACGAGGAAGGGCATAGTAATCAACGAATTTGTTCAAGAAATTTTTTTTAAAAAAAAAATTACCCTTTTTTTAAACTCGTTTATTTTATTTTAATAGGGCAGAAGAGGAAAATTATATTTTTTTGGACGGTTGCAATGATATAACAATGTTATTATGAATTTACTTGCAGGTCGAATATGGTGGAACCATATGGATGTCCAAACAAGCACTTTAATTTTGGCCACATGATATTCAGCTAAACAACGAGAAAAAAAATATATGTCCGTTGTTGGGAAATGGGAATTGCTATCGTTTATTTATAATTGAATCTTGTTTGACGTATTAGTCTATTAATCCTAATCTTTTATCAAGTAGGGTCGTGACCTCTCTTTCCTTGCAATTTCTCCTTGTCTTGTTTTACCACATTTTAGTCATGTGTACAGAAATAAGAATATATTGTTACTTTTCAAAGTCTAATCGTATTACTATATATTAATTTTAAATTTTATTATTTAGTAGCAATTGTTTGTGGTTTTGGTAAGAGTCGCTTAAAAGAATTGTCGACGGTGGGGTACATAAGAACGACCAGCACCTAACATTTTTTACCAAAATTGAAGTGGAAACTTGCATGTTTGAGACTTTGAAACATTGGATTGATATACTAGTCAACTTCTGCTAGGTGTAAGAAATGTTCAAAATGATCAAGAAGTCTTTTCTATTCTATTGCCTAAAATACAGTTCAATTAGTTAGAAAATGTTCTACCAAATCTCTTATCAGATTCAACATAATAGATTTTAAGATTTTTCGAATTCTACAATACACCACAACAATAGGGAAGAACAAGAGCGGTGTTAGAAATTAGGTTAAAAGTTTAGAACTATGTAATAACAAAGCAACACTAATTGAAAATACTCGCTCTACAATAACAACTAAAAGAATTAGTGTTAAAGTCAAAAGCTTCTAAACCATTGGATATGATTTACTTTTCTTTGTCATAACTAATTTCTCTATGAGATCATTATGGTCATTCAATGCCGAGACGTCGCCATTCAATGCCTTTGCCTTCCCTTTCTATAACATACCTAGGCGCTTCAAACTCTTTCTTATAGCACATATCAAAAATATAATTTCAAGTTGATCATCAAGTGTCAAGAGATTTACCTTTGAAAATTTTTTTTGAATAAAATTAAGCACTTTGAACTCAATCTCTAATTTCAAACAACCTCTTGCAGCTAAATAGGGGTAGCAATTGGGTCGAGTTGCTTGGGGCTCATGGACTTGGCTCGTCCCTACTCGATACATGAATGGCTCAGGCTCGTTTTGAGCCAAGCATTGGCCGAACCAAGTTGACATTATTATTCACAAGCCAAGGGTGTATGCGGGCAAGCTCATACGGGCTTGTACGCCTGCTATTATTTTTACCTTAAATTTGGACTTGTTTTATAGATTTAAAAAAAAAAAAAAAAAAGTTGCTCATTTTTTTGTTTGTTTATTTTGTTAGTTTATTTTTTAAAACAAAAATTAAAAAATTGAGTACACTCACGGGGATTCGGCTTGTTTAGGCTGAATGGTTCGTTTAGGTTCGTGGGTAGTTCGTCTCATGAGACCCACGAGCTTAGGGTCGAGCTGAGCCCATATTTTGATCACGAGCTTGTAAGGACCAATCTGACTCTATTGAACCATTGCCGCCTCTATCACTAAGCAATTCTTTGCCATGTAGGGCTTGTACATGCAATTTCATGAAGCTTATACATCTGATTGCTGGTGTTGCATCATATTACATATTGCAAACTCTGACCTCTTGTGTGTAAATTTCTCATTAGGTTTGAGGCTTTTATGCTCAATAGCGCATATTTAAGTCTTGCTATGCCAAAAGCGTAGACACTCCCAAAAATAAGGTGTATTTACTATGCATATTGAGCTTATGTTCTTTGATTTATATAGTGTTCGGTTGTTTTTGAGTATGGAGGATGATTTATTTGCTACGTTGAATCATTTAAGTCTACTTGTTCCATGGGTATAACATAAACAATTAAAGATTTTCTACGATTTAATTGAGTTGAGATATGTTGTCTCCATTTTGCCTTTATTCCTTAAGTGCACATGTCGCGTTTACGTAGGATCTTTATTACTACTTAAATTATCTTGATATTAGTAAAATTAAAGTTGAACATGATTTTAAACCATTTATATTATAAGTAAATTAAGATTTAAGCAGGGCAAGATTATCTACTAAAAGAAGAAACTTGTAAAAGTTTTGTCCATGCCAAAGAAAAAGCTAAGAAATGAGGCAAACAAAATGACACCTTCCAACACCACGACCTTGATTGCTGAATGTTCATCAAATGAAGGGAATGATAATGAGGCGTTCCTTATGTGGCGTTGTTGGGCACAACAAAAGGAAGTATAAAGATCGAAAATCACCTGCTGCAAACTGAATAAGACCAATCTAGGACCTGCCTTTTTTTTGTTTGTTTAGCATTTTTTGTTAATGTATTGCATTGGACTGGAATTATTTTATAATTTTAATGTGTTATTATTGTATATTGTTCAAAATAATCGTGTGTGGAATGAAAAACAAAACTTGGAGGCCAGAAAATTAGCCTATGCAGTCGCATAGGCCAAAAGAGGTTGTCGTAGCATATGCATAGACAGGCCCTAAAGTCCTTGCTGTATGTTGATCTATGCGATATGCGACCACATAGAACACTTTTTTAGTCATTATGGCTGTTTTTGTTTGAAATTCAAGTGGTCTTTCATCTTGTTTTGGTATCACTTCTTGGCATCTTATTGCGACCTATAAATAAGTGATTGATGTTCATTACAACACACTTAAAAAATCAATTTTGTGATTATAATTTCGTTCCTCAAAAGAAAAAAAAAATCTCTCCCTATCATATTCATATTCTGATTTTATGTTCTCAAGTTTTAGAGGATTTTACTTGTGCTTAAGTTATTAATTATTTTCAAGGCTTGATTAATCCTACAAACCATTTGCCGATAATCCTTTTAAGCACAAAATTTCAATCCGAGAGAGGGCAAATATCGTTTGAAAACAACGATAACGCATTCGGGCCTTCTTCTTCATATTTTATTCCTTGTTTTATTCTTTGTTTCTTCTCCATTCTCTTCTTTGTGAAGACATATTTCCAACAATTTCAAATGATATTTCTATAATGGAGAATGAAACCACTATGGTGACGATCAAGTTGCCGAATCAAGATCTTAGTCGTTTGGACTGTTTTGATAGTTCTAACTTCACAAGATGGTAAGACAAGTAGAAATTTGTACTCACATATACTTGATCTGAAATTGGCACCGCTATCGGAACCAACAAACGGAGAAACAGATGCCATAAAAGTCGAAAGACAAAATGGTCAAGAGGATGAGTTGATTTGCCATGGTTATATACTTAAGGTATTATTCGATCGGGTGTATGCTATTTATACCGACACTTCTTCTGCAAAAGAAATTTGGAACGCCTTGAAAATGAAGTATAAAGTCGAAGAAGAAGGTACTAAGAAATTCTTACTTTCAAAGTATTTAGATTTTAAATTTCTAGATAATATTCCCCTTCTTCACCAAGTATATGAATTACAATTTCTTGTCAATAAGTTAAAGGCGGTCAAAATTTAGATCCCGAAAACTTTTCAAGTGGGAGCAATTCTTGCAAAACTCACGAGAACTTGGAAAGGATATCTAAAGAATATCGTGCATAGTTCTGTTACTTTTTGGAATAATTGCAGAAACATTTTCTCATTAAGGAAGAGTCCAAGATGAGAGATAAGAATATCAATTCTTATGAAAGCACTTCCAAGACGGATGTTGTAGATAAAATCAAACCTTTAAACAAATTCAACAAGAGAAAGTTTTCAAGGAACTTTAACAAGCCCAAGAAGATGCAATTAAAGATGAAATAGATTCAATTATGTCAAATAATACATGGGTACTTATTGATTTACTATCCGAATCAAAACCTATTAGATGAAAATAGGTGTTTCGCAGAGAGTATAATGATGATGGTTTGCTCAATACCTTTAATGCTAAACTAGCACTTAAAAGTTATCGACAAAAGTAAGGAATATACTATTTTAATAATTATGTATCGGTAGCTAGAATAACATCAATTAAAATATTATTCACCTTGGTTTCGATATATAACTTGCATATTCATCAAATGGATGTCAAGATAGCATTCTTGAATGGGAATCTCGATGAGGATGTTTATATGGAACAACCTTAAGGGTTTGCTCTCATTGAAAATGAACATAAGGTGTACAAGTTAGTAAAATCATTATACAGATTGAAGCAACTCCTGAACTATCGTATCGTTTGGTTTTAAATATAATAGTTTAAATAAATATTTGTATTCTAAATTATGTGAAGATTATGTGATATTTATTTCCTATACGTTGATGATGTGTTGATTATTATTAATTACATGAATGTGATAGAAGAAACGAAGAGGTTTCTATCTTCTACATACAAAATGAAGGATTTTGGACAAATGGATATCATTTGGGTATCAAAGTTATTAAAACTAGTGGGAGTT